ATTATAGAAGTTTGCCCTCGCCCTTCGAGGGACGATGAATCTCGCTGGTTGTCACTGTGCCGCTGTTATGCAGCGGCTCTCATGTCCTTTGCAATTCGCACAAATGAACGTTTCAGGATTTTTTTTGCCAGGCCCGTCTCATTCAGTGCTTATATTGTGTGCCTTAATTATTCATATTACTTTACAAGGTTGAATCCTGTAAGTGATTTCTGTCTTCTTTGTCTTGATATATTTGTTTTTGTTAAAAAGACGGAAGTCTTGAAATTCTCCTTCGGCAAGAATTTCTTTTTCTTTGGCCTGGGTCACTTCACTCTGCCTGTTGATCTCTAATGCCTGTTTTCTTCTGCATATCACCTCTCTTTTCATGATTTTCTCTCCTTCAGGATGGTCCTCAGTACTTTCCCTCAGGGCACGCCCCGTCAGCTCACTTACTTCCGGCACATATTCTCCCCGGTCGCCTCGTACCGGGCCAGGTCTTTTTGTACGACCAGTATGACCTTCTGTACGACTGCGTAAGTCCGCGAGTGCTCGAAGTCCGTATCGGTGCCAAACCTCATTTATTCGATCTTGCGCACGTGTCGGCGATTCTCTCGTTGCTCGGCGGAATATGGAGTCGGGGGGGGGGGGGGGGGGGGTAAGCGGGATGATGACCAACTCCGAGGTAATGAATTCTCAATATAAATTTTAATACAGACTTAATGTGTTTCTTGTGAAGCTTTCATGGAAAGACATGTATCTGTCGTGTTGCATATAACCGAGACAGAGAGCGACCTGGGCAGAGAAACGCCACGAGGAAAAGAGGAAAACCCAATATAACGTTACATTCATGACACGGGTTTTGATTTAAGCCCGGTATCGCTCTTCACACGAAAAATAATGTGGCTGAAGCGTCGGATTAGGGGATTGATCTCTATTACAATGTGACAAAATTTGTATGCAACCTTTTGACACTGAAATACATCAACAATGAATTGCATAACAGAAATGTCAAGGGATGGATTAAGGGTTTATTTCCTTTTTTATGCATACCACTGCATGACTATTTTTGACATGAACAATTTTATTCATACGAAAACCAATCCGCCTTTTTTTCTTTCTTTCAATACAAGAAAGGAAATAAAAGAAATTAGATTGAGATACGAATTAATGAGGTTGAATTGATGCCGATTTCTGCCCCTAACACACCCACTAACGCCTGCTCTTCCCCTTCCGGCCGCCTCACCCTCGCTAGGCACCCTGAGCCTCTGTGACTGAAGCCCCTTATGCAGGGAAACCTCTGAACGAGTCGTAACAGTCTGGAAACCTCAGAGCCTAATGGAAGAGGATCAGACTCGTGAACCTCACTGGACACGTAACCTCTCAACCATCCTTGGAATTTTGAGTAGTTTTTTTTCCTTGTTTTTCGTTTTTTTTTTTTTTTCTTTCTTTTTCCTCGTTTTGGTGTGTGTTTTTTTCTGTTTGAGGCTTCCTTAACTTGGTTTCTTGCTTCTAAAAGTTATCCAATTTTGTCTTTGTTCTGTTCTCCTCGTGCTTCATTTCTATATATCTATCTATATCTATATCTATCTATCTCCTTTCTTCCCTCCGTTTTCTTCTCTCTCTTCCTCTCCCATTCTCTCCTTGATTCTAATTCTAACTCATTTTTTTTTTCTGTGCATCTTTTTTCTACTGCAGACTCTTCCTTCTCTCTCTCTCTCTCTCTCGCTTCTCTCTTCCATTTTTCCCCGTCCTTCGCAAAGTTTTCAAATGTCTTCTGTAAACTGTTGGAGTGGCTTTAATAATTAACACCAACGTGAGGTCTGAGCGTAATTCCGGCTTTGGTTCATTTTGCAGGCCGGAAGATTGTGAAACTTTATTTATTCTTTCGATCTGTTTGCGTTGGTGCTTCGTAGCCGGTGGAGAAGTAGGCGGGTTGGCCTGCGTGTCCTGGGCATCCGTGTGAAACGTAAAAGTGCCATTAAAAGGGCAGGAGAAGCTTTCGTGCCCGTGATAGATTTTTTTTCTTCTTTTTATTTATTTTTTCTCTCTTTTGGCTCGTCAGCTGTCTTGGTTTGGGTAATGTGCCTTGCTCTTGTGTGAACCACTTAATATGCGTGGAGCGAGAGAAAAAAATGTGCTTGTGTTCTTAACCTTACCCAGTAATGTTTGCCAGGAGTGTTTATTCAATAAAACACTTTCTAGGTTTATTCTTGGCTTAATCCTGAGTTTGAGTGTGCTGTGATTAATCTAGGTTGTCTAAAAAGAAAATATATATATACACGTATGCCCATGCATATATATGTATATATGTATGTATGTGTGTGTATATATGCACATATATGATATATATATGCATATATATGCATATATATGCATATATATATATATATATATATATATATATATATATATATATATATATATATATATATATATATATATATATATATATATATATATATATGCATATATATGCATATGTGTGTGTATATATGCACATATATGCATACATATATATATA